ATACACAAAAACACATTATCGATCATATACATATCCGATTTCGCAATGAGCAGAGAATAGTAAAAGCGTTCGCATGCTTGCCTTGCATAGATTATTCAAAGAAGGTCTTCTAGAAGTAGGTGCACCGTCATACTTGAATACCATCGAGGTATCTATTACTCTCGCATGATCTATCTTCAGAACTGTGATCAAAAGCAACTTGTAAGCACAAAATAAACTAATAAGGTCTCAACAAATATAGAGACAATTTGGAGCTTTTTGCTTACCATTAAGATCATTGTTCAAACTGTGACCTACCATAATAGTTCCCTTAGAAAGAAACCTCCGTAGTTTTTTCTGTATATCTGCAACAGATAGAGTAGCTTTCTCAAGATCCTCAGCAGTAACTCCAGTGATCTCTGTCTTGTAGTCAACAACTAGTTTGCTCGGTTTCACGAATTTGTCAAGAACCACCTGATTCATGAACATCAGATTAAAAAATCAACACGGCTACAATGCTCAATCACCGAGTATTTAAAAACCTAAGAGATTAAATACTCTAAAGCTATACGTTTAAATCACGGTCCACTGCGCCAACTCTAACTACAGCTTCGCTCCCATCTTCACAGCGAACCATCTCACAATCAATAGCAAGCATTCTGGTCGATTTCATCACTTTTGACTTCTTCTTTCCCATCTCCGATACAAACCAATCCTGTAATGCAATTCAAAATGGTGTTTTCAATAAACTCATATGCAGGAGGAGGAAATGGAAGAAACTAATCAGCAATTAGATTGAAACACAAACCTCGGCATAGGAGGGGAACGAATAGTCTATTGGGTACTCGCGATGCGCAATAGTCATTCGAACTAGCCTCTGCACTGCCAACAACATAGTTATGAACCAACCAATTACTAAAAACTAATTGCATTACACAACCAAAAAACCTATTACTACACATCCTCACAAAAATGTTCCCGACCTGCTCAGGAGTCTCTTTATCCGGAGATTCTTGCTTGAATTTCTCAATCAGATTACGATTAGTATCACATTGCAGAACCCTAGCAAATAGCTGAGAGTT